GATAGCAGCTCTTTTTGTGGTAGCTGGAAATTGAGGGGAAGGATGTCCATTAATTGGGGAATGGCAGAACAAGTTGTGGTGTACGAATGTGTCAGTGTGCTATTATGCTGTAAGAAAGGATGAAGGGGGTGGTTTTAGAGAAACCCGAGAAGTCTTATATGAACTGATGCAAAATGAAGCAGAACCATCATAATTTCTGTAACAACAAAACTAAAGGCAAACAACTTTGAAAGACTTAGGAACTCTGATCATTGTAATGACCAGCCGTGACTCCATAGGGCTAATGGATGAAATATGCTATGCACCTCCTGATAGAAAGGTGAAGGACTCAGAAGGTTGAAATACACATGTAAATGTACAGACATACATTTATATATGTGCATACTTAATATATGTACACACCTGCACAATGCACATACACCTTGTGTGTGCACATGTGTACGTACCCTGTGTACATATTGTATATGCACATGTGTGTACATTTATACATATGTGTATGTATGTGAATGTATGCGTTGTGTATAAAATATATGATGTATAACATATATATAATGTCTACTGATTACAGGTCGAGGGGAGCAGGGCTGACCCCACACAGGGAGAAGAGGAGCGACCTTGGTGAGCAGAAGGAAAGACGGGAGGGAAGGAAATGGGAAATTAGGGCCTTGTTGACCTTAAGCACTCTTTCGCCTTCTCACTCCTCACCTGGCGTCAGGAATAGGGCAGAGAAAAGCGGGAGCAGCCATGGCCAACACCGCGCACCTCCTGGCCTCTGTCAGTCACCAGATAGCGGCCCTGCAGACGCTGGGGCAGCAGATGGACTGGCAGGAGGGCCTGGGCCCGCGGGAGGGACAGCTTTCCCCCTGACAGGCACCCGCTTCCCAGGAGCAGGCAGAACCGGGAGAGGACCGAGAGAAGGAGGGCCGCGGGGGCCTGTCAGCGGCGGCCACGCAGGGAGACGAGCGGGGCGCAGTCCTCGAGCCTCCGGACCCCGGCCCGTGCGCACCAGCGTCGTCGGGTCCGCTTGGCAGCTCGTCTGGGTGGAGCAGACGATAGCAAAAGCAGAACGTGTCCATCCCCTTGAAAGAGAGCGTGGAGTTTAGAAACATCAGCGGTCGCCTGCTCCGCGCCCGAAGGGACGGTACTTTGACGGAGACTCGACGGCATTGGGCCAGTGCCCAAAGACCTTCAGCAAGTAGCTGATGCCCTCACTAAGGAGCGTCCCTGGGATTCCCGGCCTGTGGCCTGAGCCGCCCCAGGCAGAGGACCCAGAGTCTTTTGGATATGTGAATGTGATTGATAGGTGAATTCAAGCCCTAAGTCTTCCAGACGATCTGGCCATAAGCTTTGACCAAGAAGGGATTGTGTATAGCTATTAGCAGCAAAGTGAGTCTGGAACATCATGACATCAGGCAGAATTGAGGATTGTCATCTAGACCGCTCAGAATCCTATCCACATTTATAACAATTAGGAAGAGGTAGGTGGGATTTTCTACATGGCCCAGAGGATGGAATCTAGACCTGAGTTCAAACCCAGCCTTAGACACTTCCTAACTGTGTGACTCTGGGCAAGTCACTTAACCCTATTTGCCTGTTTCCTCATCTTTAAAATGAACTGGAGAAGGAAATGGCAAACCACTCCAATATCTTTGCCAAGAAAACCCCAAATGGGGTCACAGAGTCAAACATTGCATAACAACAAAAATGTATAATGTATATATACATTATTTATGTATAATGTGATAATGCATATATATATGTATGTATAGGTATATATGTATATAGATTTCTTTTGGCCATGGCCAATATGGAAATGTGTTTTGTTTGTAACAAGGGTTTTGTTTTTCTTTTGTTCTCAGTGGGGGTGAGGGTGGGGGAAAGGTAAACTTTTGCTAGTTTAAAAAACATTTAATTTTTTAAAAAGAATGTAAGCTCTTTGCAAGTAGAGTGTTTCATTCATCATATTTATCTCCCCAATACCTGGCACATTGATAGGCACATAGTAGGCACTTGCTAATCCTAGCTGATTGACAGGGCCATCCTGTGGGAGGAGAATCTGTACCTTCCTCTGGTCTCCCCATCAAACGAGCACCTCCCCATATGTATACTTACAAATATCACTTAGGTTCATTCCTCCTGCCTCCCCAAGCACTTCAAAATATTTTAGTGATGATCTACTGTATTCAATTAAGAAGTATTTATTTTATACCTACTATGGACCAAGCACTGTACTAGGCCTTGGTGACATAAAATTTGAAAAAGATGATTCCTGACCTCAAGAAGCTCACATTCTACTGAGGTGGAGGTGGGGGAGGGGTGCTAATATGGGGACACAAGTGAGTAAATGCACAGTATTAACCAGGCCCTATCATTTTGAGAGTATGTTCCTGGTAATAACTGGGAAAAAGCAGGATGGGCCTCATGTAGGAGGTGGCACCTGAGCTGGGATTCCCAGGGGAGAGAGGAAGGAAGGAAGGAACGAAGGAACGAAGGAACGAAGGAACGAAGGAAGGAAGGAAGGAAGGAAGGAAGGAAGGAAGGAAGGAGGGAGGGAGGGAGGGAGGGAGGAAGGAAGGAAGGAAAGGGAGGGAGGAAGGAGTGCCTTTAGACTGGGGAGGCCTCTTGTTCACAGAGGCAGGAGATGAAATGTTGTGTCAAGGGCCTAGCCTGCAATGGAGGGTGTAAGAAGGTGGTCATATGAAACATCACTTTAGCTCTGTTTCTTTCCATCTTTAGGCACCTGATAAAAGCAGTGAGTGTGTAATTGTTTGGAAGGGGCATTTAACATAAAGACCATCACTTAAGGTAATTCTAGTGTCCTGCTATGGGGTGGGAGCATTTGGAGAACCTCCTGTCTTTGGACAAAGATGCAGGAGGATACGAGATGACAGGAGACATGCTTGTGCCACTAGGATGGCACCTGTCCAAGGCCCCTTGGTGGCCAGTAGGACTGTGGCTAGCTCAGGGTTCAAAGGACACTGAAAAGTCCATAAAAGGTACTCAGTGGCTATACCAAGGCCAGATGGGTTGCCTTTTTGTGGCATCCCACAAGCCAATGTGTTAAGTGAAGACAGAGATTGTCTCCCATCCCTTACCTTTGAGATCAAAATATTTGAAGGGCGACTGCCCACTTGTACAGTCTATGGGTGCATCTGTGGGAAAATCAGGTGCAGAACAGATATAGGTACTGAGGTTCCTCATCTTAGCAGGAGTGGAAATCAGAACATCTGCAGGGTTTCAAAGCTCACCCTGTGAATTTTGTTTTCACCATCTTAATGAAGAATCTGGAGGGTTGAGGAGGGCCCTACTTTTCTGTTAGTATAAAGTGGGGCTGTGCTGGAGCCAGCTTGAACCAGACCATGCTATCCAGGTTGTTAAATTTTCAGTGACAGCATTTACACCTCAGAAATTGGAAAATGCTACAAAGCAGGGCTTGATTTATTAGTTGATTGTCTAGACTTAAGGTGACGGAGGAAATGTTAATACTGCAGATTAAATTTAAAAGGGCATTGTGGGAGCATTCCCCTACTCCCCACCCCAGCCTGGAGAGCAGGTTGTTAAACATTTACCAGCACATCTGGTGATATTCTTTAGTAGTCTAACCTGTGTATGACTGAATCATCTTTTGGGGCCACATAAAATTGGGAGGTAGATTAAAATGGCAACAGGATGAGGGCACGTACATTCAAACCCTTCAACCAGATCAAAACCAGGCACGGGCACTAATGGGAAAAAGTGGAAAGGGCAGGGACTTGAGGCAAATTTGTCAGCATGAGGAGGCTGGGTCCTACTCCTGCCCTCAGGAGCTGGAGCAACGTGAGCTCAGACTGCCACCTGGTGGCTTCCACGGAGAATGTACTCACTACTTTTAGTGGTAATAGAAAAAGCAGGTGTGTAGGACGGTAACAGCTGTCCATTTTTACAGAACTAAGACTGGAAACAGAAGGGAACTAGACTGTGGAAACCCTTGAGTACCAGGTTGAGCAGTCTGTATTTTATCCTAGAAGCAATAGGGAGCATCAAAGAATTTACAGTAATGGAGTTCCATGGTCAAACTCACCCTTTAGGAATATCAATGTGGGTGCTGTTAGGACAGACTGGAAAGGGAAGAAAGTGGGGGTGGAGAGAGCAATTAGGAGACTAACAAAGTAGTCCAGAAGAGATGTGATAAAGGCCCAGATTCAGATACCAGAAGTGTGATTGGAGCTCTGTCGATAAGAATATTTGTATAGTTTCAAGGCTTGCAAAGCACTTTACAAATATGATCTCATTGGATCCTCACGAAAACCCTGAGAGGTAGGTAACATTTTTTTTTTAAGTGAGGCAGTTGGGGTTAAGTGACTTGCCCAAGGTCACACAGTTAGTGTCAAGTATCTGGGGGCAGATTTGAACTCAGGTCCTCAACTCCAGGGCCTATGCTTTATCCACTGCACCACCTAGCTGCCCCAGTAGCTAACATTCTTATCCCTATTTCACAGATAGGAAAACTTAGGCATAGGCTAAGTGACCTGCTTAGCATCACCCAGCTAGTATTTGAGGCTGGATTTTAATGTATTGAATGCCAACTCTTGGCAAATGGCAGGGTTTTGGAGCTGACCTCAGAGAGCCTAGCCTTCTGTTCCTGTACCACCCTCTTATGGGCCCCATGACAGAGAAAGGAAAGAAGTCGAATCCTTGGTATATCCCTAAAAGTAGTTTTACTCCCCTGTAGGCTGTTCAGATGACACCATTAGAAGCTTGCAATAATTTGCCATCCATTAACTCTGACAGTTCTATGAAGGCCTTTCCCTAGAGCTCTATGTCTGACCCAGCTGATCCAACTCTGGGATTCCCTACTACCTTGGACACAAAATCAGAATCTTTAATAACCGTCCAAACACTGCTTTCTGAAAAATTATTCTCCTACCCATTTTTGGATCCACATTACCAAAAAAAAAAAAGTCATTTCCCAATGTTATTTGAGTTTATAACATACAACTTAAAAATGACAATTCAACAAGTTTACAAGTAAAACACATTTATTTGAACATACACAAATCCACAGAGGGCCCTGCACTTCTCTCTGAAGTCCCCGCCCACACACTCATTGGGGAGAGCATAGATGGGGTTCCACTGGGAGTCTTATAATCACAGCTTTTTTTGAGGAATTTACACACTATTGGGATTCCAAGCTATTCTGTAGAACCAGGCCAGAACCCTAGCCACCCATCTGGCTTGCTCTGAGGGGTAATCTAATTATATATTAAGCTACTATCACCATACAAAAATGACAGCTTAGGAGCAGGAGACCACCGAGACAGGGGAGAAAAGGGAAAACCAGCGTTCTGGGTTTGGCAACTCTTTCTGGGGCCCAGCTTGGGGCAATACCACCAAGATCTTACAAGGAGGCATGCTTAAGGGCATGGGCATGTCCTACGGACCTTCAGGCCCAGGAAACAACTTCACACAGTGCTTGACAAATGAGATAAAAGGATTCTATCATTTTAAGGAGCTTAGAAAATAAACTCGGAGAAGGCAGGGACTGTCCTGCTTTTGTCTTTAGTTAGCACAGTACCTGGCAAAGAGGAAGCTGGGTAATGCTTTAGGAAGGAAGCACGCTATGATTCCCTCCCGAGTGCCAACCCTCGATGCACTGCTACTATGGTCAGGATCTGAGGAACATGCTTTCCCTCAGTCCTGGCTGTCACCACCGGCCCAAGAATGGGACCCAAACCTCTCATGGGGAACCACGTGCTTGAAGAACTTAGCAGGCCATTGAGTGGAAGACTCAGAAATGGAGGACAAACACCGCCATTTCTCCTGCTCTGTCCCCATGAGCCATGGACTCACTTTAGCCTGATGGCTGGCCCCAGGCTCTGGTCCTGCCTGAAGCGTCTCCTGGAGCCTACAATGGCTCCTGGCTCAGTGCCAGGAAACATCTTCCTCGATCAAGCATGGTGGACACACCATATACAGACTCTGGCTTCACGGTCCCCACGGACTGTGTCAAGCGACAATAGAGAAAACAGAGAATGGCTAGATCAAATCCCACGGGCATAGAAGTTGAGAGGTGAGGAGAGATCAATTCTCCAGAGATCTTGAGGAAACACCAAAGGTAGCAGCAGAGGATACACAATCTCAAGTATTATTTTTTGGAGGCAATTGGGGTTAAGCAACTTGCCCAGGGTCACACAGCTAGTATCTGAGGCTGCATTTGAACTCAGGTCCTCCTGACTCCAGAGCTGGTGCTCTATTCACTGCACCACCTAGCTGCCCCAATCTCAAGTATTATTACTGAAAAAGACAACTAAGTGATTATTAAGACACCCAAGTGCACGTCTAGTTTTCCACCTTCGGGCTGGAGAACACCTTTGATCACTAAGGGCTCAAAGAGGAGCAGACAGGCTTCCAACCAGCCTTTCCCCCTCCCCTTTGCCATCTGGCTGAAAGTTGCGGAAAATCTAAGACCCTCCGGTGCCAATTACTGTCCAGTCTCCACGCTTTTGCACAGGCTGTCCCCTATGCCTGGAGTTCCCTCCCTCTTCCTTTCCGAAATCCCTTTCTTCAATATTCAAGCACCATCTTCTAAGAGAAACTCTTCCTACCACCCCACCCTCACTCCTGGCCAAAGACACTAGTGTTGCAGCTCCCTAAAATCCTTGAACTTTGTCTAAATACGCTGTCTTCTCCATTTGAATGGGAGCCCCCTTGAGAGCATTAACAGCTTCACTTCTCTCTCTGAATCCCCAGCCCTTTGCACAGCGCCTGGCACAAAGGAAAAAAGGCAACATGGCATAGCAGACAGAGGCCCTGGCTTGGTATTAGGGAGCCGTGAGCTCACCACCTGCCTCAGACAGTTGTCAGCTGTAACAATGGGGCAAGTCACAAGCCCACTGAGCATCTGGATAAAGAAGGCGTTAGAGCCAAGGGCCATTTTGCAAATGGCCCCTCAAGAACCCTTGAAGGTTCGAACAGGAACAACCCTGTTGGATGACCCTGATTGTTAATATCGAGGGAGTCATGGGAGACTGCAGCCTGCCTGCCTGACTGTGGGTGGCATCCTTCCCTAGATCGCGGCTGAAGCTCCCACCCCAACCCTGCAGTCACTCCAGGGTGGGGCCTCACCATCCACATGGGACAGACCAAGCACAGTAAGCTTGTTGCCCAGACTGGGATGTGCTCATCCATCTGCACGTCTCGAGCAGATGCTAAAATTCTGCTGGGCCCAGAAAGACAGGGAAAAGGAAAGAGGAAGAGAAAGGGCCGGATGCTTTGGGGGATTGCAAAGTCCTTTTATGCACTCCATTTTGCTTTTCTCTTCTGGCAGTGCACCTGGCAACAAGTCACACAACGGTCTCAGAAGTGGAATGGAGGAGAATGTAGAGGTGCACGGTGGGGAGCGGGGGCATGGGGGGCTGCAGCACACAGAATGCGTGAGACAGGGCCAAGAACAGCCCTGGATGGCCCAGTGGCTAAAGGATCACAACAGACGCTTCTCTTGAAATCCTTCTGATTGTCAGGGAACTTCCCTGGGGTGAGGCCAAGGGAGGGCTAGGGTGGGGGTGGGGCAGGTGGCATCCCTGGGGTGGCCCCAGCGATCATGCCCTGGTGTGCTCCATGCTTACCTGGGTCTGACTGCTCCTAACCTGTATGCTCTGTTGGGGCAGGTCTCATCATAGCTTTCTACCTTTCCCCGGTGCCCTGCCCTTGCCAGGCACTTCATGTGTGTAGCAGCCCTCCCCCCTCCTGAGTAACGCTTCTAAAGGCCCTAGGAAAACTCTGGGGATCATCAGGCACCCTCCCCACACCACTAAAACATATTCCCCACCCTCTGGTGTCCCAGAGTTCAAGGTCAGATTTCCCCATGTCGCTTAACCTCAGCCTCAAGGTGGTGTGATTCATGGTCCTGCCTTTCAGCCAACCCAGGACCATTCCAGGACTCCTAGGAAGCTAGTTCTGGTTACTCTGGGCTGCTGATTCCGAAGGCCCCAAGGCCTCACTTCCTCCGCTGCCCCCCACCCCAGCCTTTTCCATCTCCTAAGCATAAGCACGAGGGCCATGTGAAGCTTTGCTTGCTTCCATATTTAAAAAATACATATATTTCACAGAAGAGTTTGCACAGCCACAGGCAGGTGGATGAAGGGGCCGGGGCTCAGTGGGCAGCCTGAGGGGCCAGAGAGCTGGGCCTGAGCATCACCACCCAGGACACACAGCAGATTACTGCACCAGCAAGAAGGGGCCTTACTTAATCCCTGAAACCCAGGGGTCGCCCAGAAGAGCCCCTACTGATGCCTAATCTCTTCACTGCTCTTCCTAGAGAACAACTTCTCGAATGCAGCTTTTGCTTCAGTCCAGAACACCTCCCTTCCCCCCTGCCCCCGGCCTCGCCTCCAACATCCACTCTTGCTAAGACAGCCCGGGAGCTCAGACCCTACTGCACCATCCTTCAGTTACACTCCCTCAAGGCTCAGAGAGCCCAGGCTCACCCTGAGAGACAAACGGGAGTCAGGGAAACCCTTCTTCCCCTATCCAAGTGCTTGCAGCTCCGAGGAACAGGCCCTTGGGATATGGGAGAGGAGGGGGAGGGCTGAGGCGTCCTGGAGCTCCGGCCCCCCAAGAAGCTGTTGCCCTCCCTGCCTCCATCCACTTGGGGCGGGATCCCCAGGCCACCCTCTCACTGCCCATGGCTGCTAGTGCTGTGTGCTGTAGAGCCTCGAGGTGGACAAGACTGCAACCACAAGCCTGGCCCTGGTGACCGTGTATGAATGACAGTCGAGACTAGCGCAGATGGATGCTTTGGGGGGCTCCAGCAGGGGCAGAGGCCCAGCACTGGGCACGGCCTGCTGCCAGGGTCCCCTGTTCTCCCTGCTCCCCACAGAGATAGCGGCACACCAGTCGTTTCCATGAGCATATATTACACAGGCGGGAGGGACTGGGGCCCCGGGCCCGGCAGCTACGTTCTTCTCAGGAGGTCATCATGCACCAGGGCACAGTCATGGGGTTCGTGCAAGGCTCTCGGTGGCAAAGTCTCCTCACGCCCAGCAGGCTGCAGATGCCCTTTGCATTGGGGGGCCTGCTTGCTGTCACCGGCAGCATCAGCCACCTTGGTGCTACTCAAAGCCAGTTCCTCCTCCTCTGCCCAGGAGCACTTGGGCTCCCAAGGTGGGCAAGGGGCAGGGCCGAGGCTAGGGGTGATATAGGCCAGGGGCTGGGAAGGGCTGGTGAGCTGTGTGGTCTGGGGCTGGCTGGGCTTGGAGGGCCCCTCTAGCTTGGACCCAGGCTGCAGGCTCAGGGTGGCCTGGGACGAGACTGTGTCCCAGCTGTGCCCACCCTCAGGCAGGGTGGGCACCTGCAGGGGCAGAGGCCAGAGCTGGATTGGGCCTGAGCTGCTCCCAGGGGCTTGCATCGGGTGTGGCCCGGGGCAGGGGAGGGGAAGTCCTGATGGCCAAGGACAAAGTGCTGCAAGTGCTGGCTCAGGACAGGCCTGGGGGGGTGCGGGCTCTGTGGAGGTTGCACCCCAAGGACCCTCAGAACTCGAGGAGCCCTGAGGAGAGTCCTGGGCACCAGGGGAACTCAGGGCTGCCTTGGCCCCTGGGGCCTGCTTGTCAGACACCAGCTGTGTCACGGTGCCCGAGGCAGCTTCATCAGCCAGTGTCCTCATCGGGGTGCCGGGGGTGGCTGGGGGTGGCCGAGCCCTGTCCCACGGGTCCCGGGGCTCACGAGGGTTTTCTTTGGCACTCTCTGGGGCCCGGCGAGGCCCCTGGCCTTGTCCATCCTGGCTGTTCTCAGAGCCATCATCATCCGTGTCCTCCTCGTCCTCAGAGGAGTCCACCTCGCGGATGGCCTCCTGCTTCTGCAGGGCCTCCCGGCGCTCGGCTCGGTCGTGCCGGATGGTGCCCAGGCTGCGAGAGGCTGCCTTGGGCAGCGGGGCCTTGTCCCCTGGGTCACTGGGCAGCACCAGCTCCTTCTTGACCTCACAGGGAGTCAGGTCCAGGTTAGGCTTGCGCGAGGCAGACAACTTCTTCTCTGACGCCCCCAGGGCCGCCCCCAGCTTCTCGGCCGACTGGACCCTCTTTAGGAGTGGGGAGCGTGGCGGCTCGGCACTTTTGGGCCTTGAGATCTGCCGGCCCAAGGGTGGTGAGGAGTGCAGCTTTCCTGGGAAGGCTGCAGGGCTGCTGGCCAGGGCATGGCCAGGCAGAGGAGACGGGGAGCGCTGGGGAGATGTGGCCTGAGGGGTGGGCGACGGAGTGTGTGCCAGGGGGGACAGGGGGATGCTGCCTGCCGATTTGCGCCGGGGCGAGCGGTACTGCCGCTGCAGCTTAGGGGCCAAGCCATGCAGGGAGCTGGGGCGGATGTGGCCAGAGCTAGCCGGAGAGTTGGGCACGCTGGAGCTGGGCGAGCTGCTTTGGGAGGAATTTCCACCTACTTTGGAGAAAGAGAGAGAGAGAGAGAAAGCGAGAGCCTCAGAAACAAGAGGGGTCCAGGGAGGAGCCCAGCCCAACCCCCCACCTAGGATTCTGCCCCCCGCCCTCCAATCCTGGCTCAAGGTGGTGCTACAGGGGGCTCCAGTACCAGCTCCAGGCCTGGGCTTGTCCTTGACCCCCAAGAAGGTGGGGCCCAAAAGCAGGGGCCCCTCGAGCAGAGGTGCAGATCCCAGGTACCTGAATGCGAGACTTCAGGGGCCCCTCGGTAGCCCTGGGTTGGAGAGCGTGGGGCCAGGCTGTGGCTATGGCCATGACCGTGCGTTGGGGAGCCAGGCCCACTCTCTCCAGAGGACAGAGAGCGGCTGAGCGATGACAGGCTGCGGCTTGTGTGCAGCAAGGACGCCTGCTTGGTGATCTTCCGAAACAGGGAGCCCCTCTTCCTGCTGCCAAGAGAAGGGCCACAATGCCGCAGGTGCGTATGGGCAGGGGGCCCAGGGGTCAACAGTTGGATCAGCAGGAGGTGGGACATGCACGTGTGTGTGCATGTGTGTGTGCGTGTGTATGAGTATGCATGTGTGCTTGTCTAGGGGCCAGGTGCCCAG